GTTGAGGTCTAACTATGATGTCAATCACAGGCCTCTCTCATCGTTTTAGGTGGAAGAACTTGAGCAATTGGTGCTGACTAATTACCTTTTTTCCCCACTTTAGCCAACTTAATATAAAGAGCTAAAATTGATTAAATCTTTGTGTGAGGGCAGAGGAAATAATTCTGCTACAGAGGCAGATTGTTAATGTTAGTGGCGATAAAAGTTTGACGTCCCCACCATCTCCGAAAGTAAAGCACTGCTGAATGTACAAGTTGCTGTGCGCTTTCTCCTGGTTGTTATTGTTTTACAATATTTATGAATAATGTAGCCAAAATTTTGAAGACATCCTTTACCGCTCCCAGAGAACCACGGTTCACTTTCCAGGAGTGCTGCATGCAAGTGACGGGGGGTGCGGATGGGTGACAGCTGGTAACAAAAATACATAAATAGCAATAAGTCAGGTTTGGATTTGAATCAACATTTTAAATCCAATGAAAGCAAGATTAACAAATCAATGGGACAATAATCTGGCTGTTTAGTGATATTTCCACAGTTGTGGTCTTGACTGGTTTTGAAATAAAATTCAGAGTTCTCAATGTCCGAGACCGAGACAAGACCAAGACCATCAAAAACTGGTCTTGAGACTGGTCTTAAGACCAAGACCGGTTTCAAGTACTACAACACTACTCTGAGGTAACGAGTCCAGGAGAAGAGTACAGAGCTCCTCCTGGAGAGCTAAATCCACAGGGGGTTATATCGAGATGTTCGTAGGTCAGAGCAGATCTATCATTCCTTCCAGTGAGTTCTGGGTCTGCCTCGGGGTCACCTGTCTGTCAGGCTACAAAGTAAAACTCTAAAGGACTTGTTTTTTTCTAATGTAATAATTTTACCAGCGCCCATCAAAAAAGTTTAGGAAACCCTCATTGACATTCAAACGTCTGCAAACATTTCATCCTACAATTACAAGACAAAAAAAAGGATCTTTTGTTTTTGGAGAAAAAAAAAGGCAGGTAAATTGGCAGACACTCTGCAGCTGTGATGTGCTCTGAAAGGTATTCAAGAGTTTGAGTCCTGGGACTCAGGACTGAGTAGTTATTACTTTTTATTAGTTTCAATTTTTATCAAAGAGAGATGTCGCTCTCACTGATAAGCACATAATTAAGCAGTTTGTGCTGAGAGCAGGCAGGTGTGTGTGTGTGTGTGTGTGTGTGTGTGTGTGTGTGTGTGTGTGTGTGTGTGTTGTTTTTGCTACAACTTTCCTCTTCCTTTCAACTCAAGTGGATGAACACGAAGTTGAAGTGATTTCATCTTCAAATCGCCACGTGAACTCTGCGCCGAGTTAGTTCTGGTTGAAATAAACGCACGGCAGGCTCGTCCGCTCAGCGTGCAGCTGCAGGAGAGCGACGAGAACCGCCTTCACAGCGCAGCGTGAGGGATGTGCCGTCTGCTTTTCATGTGCCTGAACTGCTGCTGCACAAATGTTTTCAAGTGACGGGGGACATCGTCTGTTCTAAATTAACTAAAGCGTGGAGACAGTCTTGTATTTTTTTTTCAAACTGAAATCTAATAACCTCGAGATCTCAAAGCACAAAATCTCCCGTCAACAATAAAACACATTTTGTGCCTGTTCAAAACCCTCAGCAACCTGCCACACTCTAACATCAGGAAATGAGAAATTTATGTAAGAATTTTAAAAACTCAGATCTCAAAGGTTTCATAGCAGCTCCTGCAAACTTTCCTTCATTAACCTTGATATTTCACATTAAATCAACAGTTAAATGCATTGTGTTGTTTACTCAGAGTCTCTAGGAGTGCAGAAAAGTAGAATTTAGTCTCTCCTGGTGCTGCAAAAATATCTATCTTCTGTTTGGCTCATATTTTTTCAGCCCGTTCTGTTTTCTCTATTTTCCATGATGTTTATTGAACCATTACATCATGATATTTGTGACAGAACTCCATCATGTAAAGCTGGATGGACAAGTTAGTTAGTTGTAAATAAAAAGTTTCTGTGCAGCTACGTAAACCCCTCTATCTAACTAGAACCACTCTGGAAGTTGGAGGSKGGGTGGGGGCAGGGTGTGAAGCCCCTGTTTGGATTTAAAGAGACAGCCTTAAAAAGAGTTGATTTGAGGCACAGCTTAGAAAAAGGGCAAAATAAAGGGTTGCGGAGTTGAGGAGGAATTCAGAMCAAAGCATTGCAGTTCCACTTTATACWGACCCCAACTGAAGGATTTWAATCTTGATGTGTCTGCTTCACTTTAAAAGATAGAAATGATCTATTTAAGAGTGGAAATTGTGTAACCACAATGACCATCTTTCCACAAGGCCACAAAAAAATCTGCTCCTGTCAAAACCTCATTACATAAACAGATTGATGCATAAATGTGAGCAAACTTCAAACCAAACAGCTCTGAGCGGCGAGCGTGTCACCAAGAAATTACCATGATGAATATTAGTTCTGTTTGAGCAAACAACACTCACTGGCTTCTTGAACAGATCCTTGTCTTCAGTAGCAGTACTGTAAAAGCAAAATAGAAACTTAGCTTCCTTTTTTTTTAATTAAAAGAGGAGCGTGGCAGACAAATTAGCCAAACACCATAATGAGCTTCCTGAGTTTTAGATCTGCTAAAAAGTGGAGCAGCAAAATGCCACCAAGTGGAACAGCCTGCCATTTGTTTAGTGTTTTCTCACAGCTGGACAATTTAATTAGGTGTCACCGTGTTTATTTGATGATAAGTAATTTGTGTGAGACTTTTAGAGGAGTGGAAATAAACAGAACTCTGCCTCCTTTTAAAATCTCACGTCTGTTTTGGGATATGGCTGTGTTGAAGGACGCAGTTTGAATGTGGGTTTGTGTCTGCAGAACGCTGCGGCGTTTAAGATCAGAGTGGTGGGAGGATCTGCATCCTACAGCTACCTGTCCCCACAGGACAGCAGACCACTGTCCCACTCTGCTGTTGACAGGTAGGCAACCCACACACACACACACACACACACACACACACACACGCAGCTAACATTGTTCCTCCTGTCTCATGATGCTATAAAGTGATATCATGTACAGTTTTTTTTTTTTACTTTTATGATCACAAGTACATTTACACAGTACTGGACTCATACCTAATACTAATGTAGGTATTGGTTCATCCTCAGCCTTTACATTATCATGTTAAAGATATTTTAAAACCTTCAGAACCACTTTTTTCACCCAGTCTTTGTTTTTTTTTTTTTGTTTTTTTTTTAAATCCTTGTTTTATGTTGTTGAATAAAAGCTGCTAAGTGGATGTAAAATGACTACTGTGAGGTCAATCATGCATTTTTTCTGAAATGAATCCTGTTCGTAACAGCATCTTTGAACACTCAGAACATTTTTTTTTTGCTCATTCTGCAAACGGCCTTGATGTTGAAATGAACACTCATTACATCACGCTTCAATTAGAAACAACACGGGGAAATAGTCCAACAGATGGCTGTGGTCACGAAACCAAAACGGACACAAGTCCATGAAAAGCAGAAGGATAAATAGTTCAGAAAGCAGTTTATTAAACATGAAAAGGTTGTTGTGTGAAAATGTGTTGTTTTAGTGTGTCTTTGTGAAAAACCTGGACTGTCATGAAAAAGCATCAAGGTAACCTGAATGTTTTTGTACTAAACAGCATGGCTCAGATATTCAATGTACGAACAAAAACAAAGAGTTGTTTCTGTTTAAGAAAGTGTGTGGGTGTGTGTGCATTTTGTCTTCTTTCTCTCCTACAAGTAGTATTTTGTATTTTACAATTCAGAACTCACTATAAACTTTTGACTTTAATGACTTTTGGCAAAGAAATTATATTTCCCAAGACTAAACATGATGAAAAAACACAATGAGCTGTAAGAATAATAATAAAAAATAATAATAATCATAATAATAATCTTTAGAGTGCAGCCAAAAGCCAAGGTTTACTGACACTGAATTTTTTTAAAGCTAGTTTAACATGTTCTGAGTTGAGCACAGCGAAATGTCAGGCATGCAAAGTTTCAGAGCRATTTTCATTTCAACATTAGGATTCACAACAAGACCCAGTTCCCCTTCAGCCTCAGCCTGCTAGCTGCTGCTAACTTTGATTTTATTCACTAAGCCCCACAGCAGCTGCAGGTCTGCAGGGGGGTGTCTCTCTCCAAGCTTACAAATGAGTGAAAACAAACGCATCACTCAAAAATAAAAAATAAAAACTAGAAATTACAATTTCATCTTCCCTGTGGCCCTATTTAAAATTTAAATCATGTTGTTGAGGCATTTCTTACTGACCACTAATTTAATGTTACAATTTTGTGTTTAGTAATGGAATAATCTCTGTACAAGTTGGTAACGTGTTTTAATTTACCTGTTTGTTTGTTTTTTATTTCAGCTTTAGCCGTGAAATGAAATCATTAAAGATAAAGAAGGTTTGCTTGCATTTTAACAGGAGATTTGAAAAGCTGCACCTCATTAATTATAAAGTTTGGTACTTTTTAAAATTGGCTATATGCTTCTATTTAATTTGTGCTGTCTCTAAATTACAGCAGAATAGGAGAGAATTATGAGGTTGGAAATTTGCAGATGCATCATGTATGAGAAAATAACCCTTTAATAACAAACAGATTGGTACTCCAGAGTCCTGGTCAGCTGGCTGCCTGAATATACTGAATAACCAGGTTATTCCATCAATGATTGTATCTTCCCTGATGRCACGGCCATATTCCAAGATGACAATGCCAGGATTCATGGGGCTGGAGTTGTGAAAGTGTTCAGGGAGCATGAGACATCATTTTCACACATGGATTGGMTCCACAGAGTCCATCGAGAGTCTGTGGGATATGCTGAGGAATCTACCATCATCAGTGCAAGAAGTTGGTGAAAAATTAATGCAACACTGGATGGAAATAAAGCTTGAGACATTGCAGAAGCTTATAGAAACAATGTGTGTCATAACTGAAGCTAAAGGTGGTCAACAAAATATTAGTGAGTGACCTTTTTTTTTGGGGGGG